CAGGAGGCCACAGGAGGCCCAGAAGGAAGCCCCAGGAATTCCCCAGGAGGCCCCAAGAGGCCCCAGGAGGCCCCCGCAACCTGGAGCTCTGAGACGCCGCGCTCGAGGTGGTCCGGCCCGTTTCGCCTGAGATTTCCTCGCAGCACGCTTCGCCCGAGACATCGTCGCAACTCTAGGGTCCGAGATGCCGCGCGCGAGGTGGTCCAGCCCGTTACGCTGGAGACATCCTCGCAACTCTGGGTTCCGAGATGCCCTGCGCGAGGTGGTCCGGCCCATCTCGCCTGAGACATCAACGCAACTCTGGGCCCCGAGATGCCGCCCAAGAGGTGGTCTGGCCCGTTTCACTTGAGGCATCCTCGCGCTTTGCATTTCGAGATGCCGCGCGAGAGGTGGTCCGGCCCGTTTCGTCTGAGACGTCCTCGAAACTCTGAGCTCTGAGATGCCGCGCGCGAGGTGGTCTGGCCCGTTTTGCCTGAGACATCCTTGAAACTCTGAACTCTGAGCTGCCGCGCAAGAGGTGGTCCAGCCCATTCGCCTGAGACATCCTCGCAACTCTGACCTCGGAGATGCCGCGCGCGACGAGGTCCAGCCTGTTTCGCCTGAGACATCCTCGCAGCTATGAGCTCTGAGATGCCCTGCGCGAGATGGTCCGGCCCGTTTCGCCTGAGACATCCTCGCAACTCTGAGGTCTGAGATGCCGTGCGCGAGGTGGGCTGGCCCGTTTCGTTCAAGATATTCTCGCAACTCTGAGCTTCCAGATGCCGCCCAAGAGGTGGTCCAGCCTGGGGGCCCAGAAGACCACATGTTACATGTTACATATCCCCCCTGGGACCCTGGGAGCCCCAGCAGGCCCCAGAGAGCTTCAAGAGGCCGCAGGACGCCCAGGACAGGCCCCAGGGGTCCCCAAGAGATTCCCAGGAGGCTCCCAGGAGGCTCCCAAGAGACCCCAGGAGGCCCCTTGTCAGAACGTGTCAACTTAATACACATCCGTTTTTTTCCTCCGCAATCCCAGAAGGCAGGACCAAGCACAACTTCGTGCACGACGCAGGCCCAGCCAGCAAGCTACACGCCAGCTGGGGGCAGTGCAAATTATAGCCGGAGCGCAATATCCCCAAACAGGGTTTTCAGACCCACTGCGGTTTCCAAGGTCGATTGCGTGCCCGTCCAGTGCGGGCTGGCATGGCATGTTAGAACATGATTACATGATGCTTTCACATGAGATGTTTGCACGAAAATTTGTGTGACGCATACCTATCAGGAAGCTAACGCTAGAGGGTGTCGTACTGTCTCGCACCTGGTCGACGAGTAAGCTGTCGGGTCGGCACCGTGAGAGGCTCCACCGCCATGCTGTGAACTCGGAGGCAACTGTAAAAGGAAGCGGGGGAGGGCGCGGAAGCGGGTTGGCATGTCGTGATGGTTCCCCTGGGGATGATATCGAGAGGTACGCGGCGCACGTCTCAAAAGAAACATCGTGACGTCGGATGTCTTGGAAGGGCGGAAGGCAGTGCGCGCATGACGGATGCTGAGGCGGCAGAAACGACGACGGCAGGGACGGGGAGGCGGAGGCAGAGGCGCAGCAGCGGAAGGCGGGAGGCGAGAGGAGGGAGGAGGGAAGAGGAGCCAGGCGGGAAGTGGGAAGAGGGAGGCGGGAGAAGGAATGAGAGAGATTGTGATTGGAGCCCCTGTGCTACGAAACGTCTCAGGCAGAACGGGCCAGACCATCTCGCGCGCAACATCTTCGAGCCTCGCATTGCGAGGATGGCTCAATCGAAACGGGCCGGACCACCTCGCGAGCGACATCTTGGAGCTCAATAGTGGAAGGATGCCTCAAACGAAACGGGCCGGACAACCTCTCGCACACGTTCTGACAAGTCCACGTCACACTCGCTTCCCGTGAGGTCCTCTCCTGCAACACCCTTCCTTCTCCCTCCTCCTCCTCCTCCTCCTCCTCCTCCTCCCCCTCCTCCTGCCTGCTCCCTCATCCACATCATCCGCCTCCTCCTTCTCCCTTCCATCTCCTTCTCCTTCTCCTCCTCCTCCTCCTCCTCCTCCTCCTCCTTTTCCTCCTCCTCTTCATCCCGAACGGCATCTCGGAGCCTAGAGTTGCGAGGATGTCTCCAGCGTAACGGGCTGGACCACCTCGCGCGCGGCATCTCGGACCCCAGAGTTGCGACGATGTCTCTGGCGAAACGTGCTGCGAGGAAGTCTCAGGCGAAACGGGCCGGACCACCTCGAGCGCGGCGTCTCAGAGCTCCGAGTTGCGGGGGCTCCTGGTGCCTCCTGGGGCCTCCTGGGGACCTCCTGGGGCTTCCTCCTGGTCCTCCTGTGGCCTCCTGAACTCCACCTGGGGCTTCCTGAAGCCTCTTGGGGCTCCCAGGGGGGATACCTAACCTGTGGCCGTTTGGGCCCTTCAAAATGGAGGGGGGCGGGCACAAGAGCAGGATAAATCAACGAATCGACACCGGATGTGTATTAACTTGACACGTTCTGATAGGGGGCTTCCTGGGGCCTCCTGGGAGCCTCCTGCCTGGGGACCCCTGGGGCCTGTCCTGGGCGTCCCGCGGCCTCCTGAAGCTCTCTGGGGCCTCCTGGGGCTCCCAAGGGGAATATCTGACATGTGGTCTTCTGGGCCCCCAGGCTGGACCACCTCTTGCGCGGCATCTGGGAGCTCAGAGTTGAGAGAATGTCTTGTGCGAAACGGGCCAGACCACCTTGCGCACGGCATCTCAGAGCTCAGAGTTGCGAGGATGTCTCAGGCGGGACGGGCCGGACCACCTCGCGCAGGGCATCGCAGAGCTCAGAGTTGCGAGGATGTCTCAGGCGAAACGAGCTGGACCACGTCGCGTGCGGTATCTCCGAGGTCAGAGTTGCGAGGATGTCTCAGGCAAAATGGGCTGGACCACCTCTTGCGCGGCATCTGGGAGCTCAGAGTTTGGAGGATGTCTCAGGCGAAACGGGCCAGACCAACTCGCGCGCGGCATCTCAGAGCTCAGAGTTTCGAGGACGTCTCAAACGAAACGGGCCGGACCACCTCTCGCGCGGCATCTCGGAATGCAAAAGTGCGAGGATGTCTCAAATGAAACGGACCGGACCACCTCTCGCGCGGCATCTCGGGGCTCAGAGTTTGGAGGATGTCTCAAGCGAAACGGGCCGGACCACCTCTCGCGCGGCATCAGAGAGCGCAGAGTTTGGAGAATGTCTCAGGCAAAACGGGCCGGACCACCTCGCGCACGGCATATCAGGGCTCAGAGTTTCGAGGATGTCTCAGGCGAAACATGCCAGACCACCTCTTGCGCGGCATCTCGTAGCCCAGAGTTTCGAGGATGTCTCAGGCGAAATGGGCTGGACCACCTCGTGCGCGGCATCACAGAATTTTAAATTGCGAGGATCTCTTAGGCGAAACGCGCAGGACCACCTCGCGCACGGCATCTCAGAGCTGAGAGTTTGGAGGATGTCTCAGGCGATACGGGCCGGACCACCTCTCGCGCGGCATCTGGGAGCTCAGAGTTTGGAGGATGTCTCAGGCGAAACGGGCCGGACCACCTCTCGCACGGCACATCGTGGCTCAGAGTTTCGAGGATGTCTCAAGCGAAACGGCCCGGACCACCTCTCGCGCGGCGTCCCGGAGCGCAGCTTTTCGAGGATGTCTCAGGCGAAACGGCAAATCCCGGCCAACTCAGAAACGAGAGTTGTGAGGATGTCTCACGCGAAACGGCCCGGACCATCAGATTTTTGTGAGGATGTCTCTGCTCCCCTTTCCCTCGGCCGGAGTTAGCTTGTATCACAACAGCACCCCGTTCAGCAAGCTGTTTGGAGAATTTTGTAGGGGCTGATGAAGGGGGGACTTGGAGGGAGGGTTTATTGCAATATCGTTGCTGAATCTTGGATTTGCAATGGTCGTCCTCCTCCTCCTCCTCCCTCTCCTCCTCCTCCTCCTCCCCCTGAACTCCTCTTCCCCCTCCTCTTCTCCTTTTAATATTCGCGTACCTCTTCGAAGTCATCGTTCTCCTTGGAGCTCTTCCCTGGAGCTCCTCCTCGTCCTTTTCCGCGTCCTCCTCTTCCCCCGAGCTCCTCCTCCTCCTCCTCCTCCTCCTTCTCCTCCTCCCTTTTCTCAGACCCCAGTCGCACCTACCCTTCACGGAGTTGCTTCTCTCCTCCTCATCATCGGATATCCTCGCCCTCCTTCCCTCTCAGATGTCCTACTCCTCCTCCGCCGCCTCCTCCGCATCAAAAGCGATCATCAAAGCAATGTTGCGTTTCAATGCTACCCGATGGCTCGAGTCAAACGTCCATGGCCATGCACCATGCAACATTACAGGCATCACGACCATGAGCAACATGGTCGTGTAAGCATGCGTTCACATTGCCGTCTTCAAGGGCCACCTGCACAGAAAAGGTAAAGTAGGGCGTAAACCTGACCGTCGGTGAGTTGGACGACCGAGCTCGGCACAGAACTTGTCCACAGCCCGAATCGTGGAAACTACGGGGGAAGCGGTCGGACGACAGCCGGCAACCTCCGACAACTCTTGGGAAGCCAGCGTGGGCCTCTCATGGAATATCCCAGTGCACCTTCGCCCATTTCCGCCGAGCTTCCACCAACGGCTTCGTCCTACTTGCGTTGGCTTTCGCCGAAGGCGAGAGGTTCGCCCTTCGAGTCCTCATATTGGATCGATGCACATATCATTGGCGCACGGCGGATCAGACCGAAACTGGAATCCAAGAGCCAGGTCGGCCAGGAATCGAGGCTCCCAACTTGGCCAGGCCTCTCGGGGGCCACTGGCGAAAGCCCATGGAAGGCTTGGCCAAGCAAGGTGCTGGCGTATCACTGACCCCTCCTGCGAACTTGATGCGAAGCCCCATGCCTTCTGAACCCGCTGGCCTTGAAGGCGAAGCGATCTCACATTTTTCTTCGCGAATACAAGGCGAGCCGAAGCAGCAGTAGAATGACTGATGGGGCAAGGTCGGGCCTCCCCTCCAACGAAGTGCCACACAGATTGCATCTAACGCAAGGAAAATCCGCCCACCCCTTTGGGCGACGGGCGTGTGAAATCATTTCCTCCCAACCCCCCTCGGCAGAAGACGGACAACTCGCCTGATAAAATGCCCAGCTACCCTCACCCCGTTTGATAAGCGGGCCCGGTTAACAGGTTTGCCCATGGCAACAAGGAGGGTTCCAGTCTCCCCGAGTGTTCATCTGACAAGTGACCCTAATTGTCAAATGGGTCATCGGAGACAGCGTTGACAGGACATCTCGGAGCCCCCAAAAAAGAGGACTCGGGCCAAATTGGTTGAACCACCTCAGGTCTGGGCATCACCGAAAACACAATTCCCAACGATGTTTCAGGCGAAAAGGACCGGGACCACGTGAGGTCAGGACATAAGTACATGAACCCAGAGTTGCAAGGATATCTCAAGCGAAACGAACAGTCCGCGGCAGCTGCGAACACTGAACATCGAGGAAGCGGGATCGGATAACGTGAAACAAGAACATCGATGAACCCAAAATACCGAGGATGTATCGGGCGAAGATGGCTGGACGACCTCTGGCCAGGTCATCTCCGAAAAGTGTGAATCGAAACTGGCTGGACCACGTCAGGTCGGGGCATCCATGGGCCCTGAATTGCGAGAGTGGGGGGAAGCTGGATGGACCTCTCGCGTGTCTCGAAGCCCACAACTGTGAGGATGTCTCAAGCAAAAATGGCTGGATCGCCCCAGGACAGCGGCGAGGATGTCGAATCGAAATGGGCTGGACTATCTCTCGCGCGGCATCTCGAAACCCACAATTGCAAGGATGTCTCAGGCGAGCTCGGCCGGACCACCTCACAGGCGGCATCTCGGGGCCCAAAATTCCATTCTAGACGCTTCGCGTAATCCCACCAGCCCGCCGGGATGTCTGGGCCGGTCTCCTGCCGACGCAGCTTGCGTCTTAATGAGGGTAATTTTGTCCCTTGCACGTGCATTCGCCTCGGAGGCCAATTTACATCGTCACGCGCCCCGGACGTTGTGTTTGCTCCCTGTCATCCGCCTTGGAGCCGCGAACCAAAAAAGTAATCCCACCAGCCCATCCAGAAACGATGCCCAGAGGAATTGCCTCGATCAGGGAAGCGGGCAGCACACAGAGGAAGGGTCCCCCAGTGGAGGCCAGTTGGAGCGTCCTGGGGGCCTCTTGGCGGTCCCGGGCGCCTCTTAGAGCGTCTTGGGTGCCTCGGAGAGCTTCCTTGGGCCTCTTCAGGGTCTCTTGGGAGCCTCACGGAGGCCTCTTGGGCGCCTGTTGGGGCCTCCTGGGGCCTCCTGGGCGCCTCTTGGGGCCCTCTTGAAGCGCTCTTGGGAGCCTCGGGAGCGCTCTTGGAACCCTCTTGGGCCATCTTGGAGCCATCTTGAAGCCTCGGATGGCCATCGGAAGCGAAAAGGCGAGAAAGCCAAACACATTGATTTTCCCAAGGTGTTGGAAGGATTTGGGCCTCTTCGGGGTTTCCTGGGGGAGCTCTTTGGCCACTTGGAACTGTCTTGGGGCGGTCTTGGGGCCTCTTGGAGCATCGTGGGAGCCATCTTGAGGCATCTTGGGATACCTTGAGCCATATTGGAGGTCATCTTGGGCTCTCCCAGGCGCTCCTGGAGTCATCTTAAGCAGCGGGCCCCCCCAGGAGGCCAACATGTGGCCAGAAACCTTAGTAGAACCAGTGACGCCGAGGCCTCTTGGAGCGTCTTGGGTGCCTCTGGGGGGGCCTCTTAGGGGCCTCTTGGGGGTCTCTTGGAAGCCTCTTGGGGGCATCCTGGGGGCCTGTTGGAAATCTTTTCGGGCCTCCTGGCCACCTCTTGGGGCCCTCTTGGAGCACCCTTGGGAGCCTTGGGAGCGCTCGTGGGGCCATCTCGGAGGAGATCGATCAAAGAAGGGGGGTTCCTCAATTAGCGCTGCCCCCCCAAGAGGCCAAAATGAACCCAAACTATAGTAAAACAAATGCGGTTGGCTTCCTCGCCGAAGCCGTTTTGGACGCTCCGACCGCTCGCGGAACGCCCCGTCCAGGTCCAGGGGAGGGGGTAGGGGGAGGGGTCAAGACGCCCTTCCCGCCCGCAAGCCGTCTCGCTCACTCCCACCCGCCCTCCCAACACATACGTAGCACCCGAGCCTGGCCCGAGCCGCAGCATATGCAGCAGTCGTCTTTGGATGGGCAGCTACTGGGGGCGAATCCGCCGCCGCCGCCGCCGCCTCCGCCGCCGCCGCCGCCCGCTGCCGCCGCCGCCGCCGCCGCCGGTGCCGCCTGTGGCCGCCGCCGCCGCGCCACGCGCGCCGCCGTGCCGCCGCGCCGCGCCTGCCGCGCCGCAGCCGCTGCCGCCGCGCGCCGCGCCGCCGCCGCCGCCGCCGCCGCCGCCGCCGCCTCCGCCGCCGCCGCCGCGCCGCCGCCGCCGCCGCCGCCGCCGCCGCCGCCGCCCCCCCCGCCGCCGCCGCCACCGCCGCCGCCACCGCCGCAGCCGCCGCAGCCGCTGCCCCCGCCACAGCCGCCGCCGCCGCCAAGTGTACTCTGTATTGTTTTTTGGCAGGGATGGTGGGGGGAGGCCGCATGGGGTTCGCTGCGCATGCTCAGAATTTGGAGGCAGAGTGTGTTTTGTATTGTTTTGTACAAGGGATGGTGGGGGGGGTGCCCTCATGGACTCGGGTTGGCTCCCAGTCGCCTGGGGGAGGGGGTGTATACTAATAGGGAACAATGATAAGCCCATCCCCGAAGGGGAAGAAGGGGGTGGAAGAGGAAACACCCTAAACCACCTACGCCCTAAAGGGGCTGGTGGGATTACGAAGATGGCTTCGCCGAAACCGATCCGGGCAACTTCTCGCATGGGGTCTCCTAGCTCAAAATCCCACCCGCCTGCTGGGCAGGAGATGGTCCATCGCGATTCATTGTCCAATCCCTTTTTCCCCTTCTGGGATCGGGCCATCGCTGCTCCTGGATAATAAATGCCACCTCGCCCAATCAACCGACCACCAACTGTCCCCCCACACGATTCCAACCAAAAACAAATTCAAATACCTCCAAGCGGCTACCCCATTGAAGCTCGGAAATGCGATGCGATCCGTCAGAACCATGATCATCGGATGATCATGGTTCTGTAGATCCGCCACCATGCCTCTGGGCATGGAGTGGGCGTGCTCTCAGGTCCTTGCCATAATGGTCTCAACCCCAGCCCTCGCTCTTGAGGAATCTTTCATGGGCACAGGCCCCAAATCGCGAAATCTTCTCCTGAGGCTTCTCGCGTAACTTTTTCGGAGCCATGGGGGCCCCAAGACGGGCTGACAGGCCCCAAAACGGCCCAAGACGGCCCCAAAACGCCCCGAGACGCCCAAAGGTCGCTCCAAGACGCCCAAAGTGGCCTGAAGATACCCCAAGAAGCCTCCATGATGCCCCAAGAGGCCTCGAAGATGCCTCCAAAGTGGACCCTGAGAAGCAAAAAACACTGTTTTGCCTCAGGTGTTTGAACGATTTGGGCGTTCTCGCCCTTTCTCATTTCCGACGCTCCCAGACGGCCATCGAGGCCCACAATACCACCCCAAGACGGCCCAAGAGGCCTGCAAGAGGGCCCCAAGACGGCCCACGAGCGCCCCAAGATGGCCCACGAGTCGCCCAAGACGGCCCAAGAGGACCCCAAGACGGCTCCAAAAGTGGCCCAAGAGAGAAGCAACTAACAGAAAATCCGAAACTTCTGCTCCAAGAGGCCCCCAGGAGGCCCCAGGAGGCGCCCAAGAGACCCCAAAAGGCGCCCAAGAGGCGCCCAAGAGGCCCCCAAGAGGCTTCCAAGGGACCCTAAAGCAACCCCAAGAGGCTCCAAAACTGCCCCAAGAGGGATCAAAACTGCCTCCAAGAGGCCCCCACGAAGTCCCAACGAACATCCACTAGGCCTCATACCCACAGCCCAGGACCCAGGCACGGCGGCGGGATGGGCCGAAGGCCATTGGACAAAGAGGAGTCCGAGGTACAGAGGATCAGGAGTCCCGGGGGGCGACGCTCAGGCCTGGATGTCTCACATGAACCCTTCCTGCCGTGCTCGGGAAGGCGCCCTGACAAGCACGAACCAAACATACACCCTGCGAAATGCTTAAGAAATCATGGGTCAAGAAATTCATAGTCTCAGAACTTAAGTAAAAACCCAGAATTCCTACTCAAATCGTAGGATTTACATGGAAACGTTAAGAATCATCAAGACTCTGGCCGAAAATCTAAGTTTTCTTCAGCATCGCCTAAGGTGTACGTCGCTCCATGGAGGTCGGCGGCAGCAGCGGCAGCCTTCAGATTCGAGTCAGCAGGCCCTTAATGACAATAGATTGAACTTCTGACCGCTTGAGCGACAAGATAGAGTATGCTTTCCAGCGCTCAGGTTCGTCGCAATCGGCACAAACGCTTGAGCTGAAACCTTTTCTTGAATCAGTGCATCTAGGAACACGTCAGCGCTGTCATCGATGCGGCAGGTAACGCTGCCAATGTTGTCGTAGCTCTGGAGGTACTCCAGGTACACATCGCCCAATACCGTTTCGAGCTGGAAGGAGATGGACCCCGTGGCACCCGGCCGGCAGATCCACCCAGGCTTGCCTTCCACGTCCTGGGCATAGACCCACGCGCCTGTCGTGTCCACTTCGGCACGGAAGGCAGCTGGAACAAAGAAGCTCTCCGAGTGCGGTGGGACCATATGCAGCATCGGAGCAGGCTCAGATGCCGTCAGAGACGTTGTCCAGTGAAGCATGCACTTGCTGGTGCTTGAGTGCCGATTTCGTTGGGACGTAACTGCGCAATCTGTCCCCTGCGGTTCTAGCTTCGCAGAGGGCTTGGTGGAGAAACGCAGCCAGTAAATGCGCAATGAATTCATGAGTCTCGCACGATGGGTGGGATGGATTCGCCCCCGGGCGGACCGGGGTACCATTGTGCCAGAAGCGAGGGTACCACTGACCCGCATATTCGAAGATGAAAGGCTTATCACGCGGAAGCACTTCACACACGGCATCAAAATCCGCCGACCCTATTGGCGTGTGACGGGCTTGTCTGTTCGAGTCGTCGTCTCCGTCAGTCGTCGTCTCCGTCGTTCCCTTTACCCGCGCCCTCATCTTCAAGCGTGTCAAGGAGAGAAAAATCTGGCAATGTCGTAATCGAGTCGAAGGGAAGCCTCTTCCCTTTGATCCCTGCCCCGTGGATCACAGGGGGGGAGTCAGAAACGCATCCCCCCCTGGGGGTCCCGGGGCCTCAGAAAGTATCAAGACAGGCCAAGAGTGCCCCAAGAGGCACCTGAGATGATCCAAGAGGGCCCCCTATCGCCAAACGATCGGTCCAAAACGCCTTGACGCCCTCAAGACTGCCGAGGAGGCATAAGTGGGCGTTCTCGGCTTTTCCACTAGCCGCCGCTCCAAAACGGCGTAAGAGGCCCCCAAGATCGCCCCAAGATGGAAGCCTCCAAGAAGGCCCCAAAACAGCCCAAGAGGACCCCAAGACAGCCCAAAACGCCTGCAAGACGGCCCCAGAGGCCCCCACGACGGCTCCAAGAGCATTTCGAGCCCTCGGCCCCGAGAGGCTCCCAGGAGCCCCCAAGAGGTTCCCAAGAGGCCCCAAGAGGCCCTCAAGTTGCTCCCAGGAAGCCCGAAGAGGCCCCCAAGAGGCCCCCAAGAGGCCCCCAAAGTCCTCCCCGTCGTCGTCGTCGTCGTCGTCGCCGTCGACTCCCTTCAGGGTCGGCGGCAACGGCCGTAAGGCTTTCGCAATAGCTGATCAAAGGCACTCGTAGCTGTTGATAGGCTGGCCAGTGCGGGAAAGTTCGCACATCCAACATACAAGGGTCAGCTGAGCTCGTCCTGCTGATGTGCTGGAAATTAGCGCGCCACTCGCTCGACGGCAGAAGCTCGACGAAAACCACGGCTGGATCCGAGTCCAGTGGCTCCAGCAGTGATACGGCAGAGCATACTTTATCAGAGATCGAATTGAAGTCTTGCTTTTTGTATCCGACCGAGTCTCCAAATGACATGTCGATAAATACTATGTCTGCTCTATCTAACCAACGCTTTACGGAAGCGTCACCAGCAGTCGCATGGATCGCATCTATGGTAGCACCACAAGCTAGCATCGCATCAAGCGTGACGTGCAAGACGTCCTCGGACCACATACGCTTGAGTAGCGCTGGCAGTCTGCTTGTCCATGTGTTTTTTGATTTTCTCCCAGAACCCCCTGGGCAACCTACTCCAAGGGTTATGGAATTGCCAAACACACCTATTCTGAGCTCTCGCGTTTGCGCTGCTCGTGAGAGTCTCTGCAACAATTTCATGCGGTCTGGCTTGTAGCCGTTTGGCATGGTTGCTGCTGTCAAGTTGCCATGCGCACCCATTTATGATGCCCGCGCATCTTCACAAAAGCCCGTCTCATTGCCACAACGCCAATCGCAGTAAAATGCCCCTGACGACGAAGGGGCTGCACAACTGTTTTGCACAGGGGAGGTACAGTTGTAAGCGGCGGGAACTCTGCCTGAGGTGGCAATCTTAGGGGAACGAAAAATCACATAAGCATACATACTCGAGAGAGCGTGATCCACCTCGGCTTTACTGTGGAAAATTCCCCCACCTCCTCCTCCGGAACCCGGGGTTCCCCCCCCCCTCTCGGAAAATCGCCTCCCCCCCCTGCTGGACCCCCCCCCTCCCCCCCGGCAAAACCCCCCCCCCTCCCTCCACCCCCCTCCGGAAAACTGGGGGGGGTCACTACCAGTTCGAACCCCCCCCCTCCAGAAAACGGGGGGGGTCACTACCGACCGCGGTTCGAACCCCTCCCCCCCCCCCTCCGGAAAACCTGGGGGGGGATCACCACCGGTTCGAACCCCTCCCCCCCGCCGCCAGCTCTAGAAAACCCCCCCGGCTTTCTGGAGGGACGGCCCCCCCCTCCGGAAAACCAGGGGGGATCACTGCCGGTTCGAACCCCTTCCCCCCCCCCCACGCTCACCGCCAGCAAACGACTCCCGGGTCCCTACCACCGTTCGCACCACATCCCCCACTGCTGTCCCCAGCACCACTGTCCTCACCACCACTGTCCCCACTGTTCCCACCACCGTCCCCACTGTCCCCACCAGTGCCCCCACCACTTTCGCACTGTCCCCACTGTCCCCACCACTGTTCCCACCACGGTCCCACTCTCCCCACTTCCCCACGGCCCCAACCACTGTCCCACTCTCCCCACTGTCTGAATGTCCCACTGTCCTCGCCGATGTCCCCCTTAGCTGTCCCACCCACCACTGTCCCCACTGTCCCCACCACTGTCCCCACTGCACCTCTGTCCCATTGTCCCACCGCCGTCCTCGCCACCGCCCTCACCACTGTCCCCACCACCACTGTCCCCACCACTGTCCCACTGTCCCCACCACATTCCCACTGTCCCCACACCACTGTCCCCACCACCACCGTCCCCACCAATGTCCCACAGTCCCCACCACTGTCCCACTGTTCCTACCATTGTCCCCGCTGTCCCCACCAGTGCCCCCACCAGTGTCTCACTGTCGCCACTCTCCCCACCATTGTCCCACCACGGTCCCACTTTCACCACGGTCCCCACCCCTGTCCCACTGTCTCCACTGTACGCACCACTGTCCCACTGTCCCCGCTGTCCCACCGTCCCCACTGTCCCCACCACTGTCCCACTGTCCCCACTGTCCCCACCACTCTCCCCACTGTACTACTGTCCCACTACTGTCCGCACCACCGCCTTTACCACTGTCCCCACCACTACCGTCCCCACCACTGTCCCACTGTCCCCACAACTGTCCCGCTGTCCCCTCACCACACCACCACCGTCCCCACCACTGTCGGCAGCACTGTCCCACTGTCCCCGCACCACTGTCCCCACCACCACTGTTCCCACCACTGTCCCAACATCCCCACCATTGTCCAACTGTCCCGAGTGGCGGGAATTGTTTGCCCGCGGCGAGGGTGGGGGGTGGGGGTTCGAACTGGTGGTGCCCCTTCGTTTTCGAGGGGGGGGATTCGAGCCGGTAGTGACCCCCCCCCTTTTCATGATGGACTGAGGGGGGAGGGGGGGGTTCGAACCGGTAGTGACCCCCCCCGATTTTCGAGGGGGGAGGGGGACGGGTTGGGAACCCCCAGTGACCCCCCCCCGGTTTTCCGCCAGCAGCGGTAGAACACGCTCTTTCACATACTCGGAGGCCCGCGCGGATTTCTTGGATTCGCGCTGGGCCCCCCTCCCTGGCACCCAGAGCGCGCCAGGGGCGGCGCCGGAGGCGCCGCCAGGGGGCCCCAGCGCCGATCCGAGAAATCCGCGCGGACCTCCGAATTATTAGCTCTGTGTGTGTGTGTGTGTGTCATTGTCCGTTCCCCTACGCTGCGTGCGGCGCCGGCCATGCTCGTGCCAGGGAGGCCCCAGCCCGCCCACGGTGGCGATCGCACCCTGCCGAGGCTGGCCGCCGCAGTGCAGTAAGCGACGGCGGCGCACGTCAGGAGCGCCGCCGCCTCGGGCACCCGGGTGCCGGGGACCACGCGCGGCAAGCCCATGGCCCATGGAGGCTGCACGGGGCACCACGGGAAAAGTTCGCGTGAGCAGAGACGGCTACGGATTGGGGGACTCCTGGGCCACCGTGGACGCTGCGAAAGCCAAAAGGCGAACGTGCTTATATTTATATATATATATATGTGTATGTATGTATGTAGATGTATATGTATGTATGTATATGTATATGTATATATATGTATATATATATAAATGTATATATACATATATATATATATGTATCAGAGTGAGGGGGGCGAACGGTCATTCACTGTCCCTGGGTGCGTGGCTGAAGTGGAATTCCGCGGTGCGTATTCGTGTTGTTGTTGTTGTTGTTGTTGTTGTTGTTGTTGTTGTTGTTGTTGTTGTTGTTTGTTGTTGTTTGTTGTTGTTGTTTGTTGTCGTTGTCCCACCCGCAACCCGCCCCGCGACCCACCCGCGACCCAATCCGCGACCCACCCCGCGACCCACCCCGCGATCCACCCGCGACCCACCCCGCGGCCCGCCCGCGGCCCACCCCGCGACCCACCCGCGACCCACCCGCGACCCACCCCGCGACCCACCCGCGACCCACCTTCGACCCGAACCACGTTCAAGGTACAAACCACCATTTTCGGCGCCTGCGGCGGGCTGTTTTTGCATTCCTTCCAGGGGGAGAGCCCGCGACCCACGCCGTGATCAACTTGCGACCAACCCGCGACCCAAACCACGTTCAGGGTACAAACCACATTGTTCGGCGCCCGCAGCGGGCATCTTTTGCATTCGTTCCCGGTGGAGAACCCGCGGCCCACCCGCGACCCAAACTACGTTCAGTGTACAAGCCATTTTTTGTTGGCGCCTGCGGCGGGCTGCTTTTGCATGCCTTCCAGGTGGAGGTGGAGAGCCCGCGACCCACCCGCGACCCAAACCACGTTCACTGAACAAACCAATGCCGCACAAGCGCGGCGGCGGAAGTTTGCATGCCGTCTGAGCCCGCAAGGACCTCTTCAAGCCCCGCGCATCCATACCAGCCCGTCCAGCAACTTTGCCCTGGCGAGTTGCCTTGATCAGAAAAGCCGGGGAGCACAAAGTGCAAAAAAGGATTGCGTTGCCGTTATCTTGGGGAAGGAGGGGGAGGCAGGACGAGTAAACAGGGGACGAGGAGGACGCGGAAGAAGAGAGGATTTCAGGAGAACGTTGAGAAAAAGGAGGAGGAGGAGGAGGAGGAGGAGGCGGAGGAGGAGGAGGAGGAGGAGGAGGAGGAGGAGGAGGGAGGAGGAGGAGAGGAGGAGGGGGGAGGAGGGGGAGGAGGGGGAGGATGATGATGGACGACAATGGGAGGACGATGATGGAGGCCGATGAGGGGGAGGACGACAATGGGAGGACGATGATGAAAGGACGAGGGGGGGAGAGGGAGGACGAGGAAGAAGAGGAGGAGGAGGGCGAGGTGGA